AAAAAAGTAGAAAGACTTTAAGTAACCTAATGTTACACCTCAAAGAACTATATAAACAAGAACAAACCAAACGCACAGTTAGTAGGAATAGAGAAATAACAAAGATCAGAGCAGAAATAAATGAATTAGAGATTGAAAAAAAAACAGATCAGTGAAACAAAGAGTTGGGTTTTTGAAAAGAAAATTGGTAAACATTTAGCTAGACTAAGGAAGGAAAAAAAAAGACAAATAAAACTAGAAATGAAAAAAGACGTTACAACTGATACCATAGAAACATAAAGGATCATTAAAGACTATTAGGAACAACTGTGTGCTAACAAAATGGAAAACTTAGATGAAATGTATAAATTTCTGGACACATACAATGTACCAAGGATGAATCATGAAGAACTAGAAAACCTAAATAGACCAATTAAGTAATGAAATTGAAGCAGTAATGAAAAGTCATCCAGCAAAGAAAACCTTAGGACAAGATGGCTTCACTGCCCAATTCTACAAAACATTTAATGAAGAACTAATACCAGTTCTTCTTAAACTCTTCCAAAAAATTGAAGAGAACAGAATACTTCCAAACTCATTCTATGAGACCAGCATTGCTGTCATACCAAACTGGAAAAAGATATAAAAAAAAAGAAAACTACAGATCAGTATCTGTAATGAACAAAGGAGGGAACATCCTCAACAAAATACTAGCAAACCAAATCTAAGAAGACGTTAAAAATCATACACTATGGTCAAGTGTGATTCATCCCAGGGATGCAGGGATGGTTCAACATAAACAAATCAGTAAATGTGATATATCACATGTACAGAATTAAGGAAGAAAACCTTATAATAATTTCAATAGGTGCAAAAACAGTATTTGATGAAATCCAACACCCCTTCATTATAAAAGCATTCAACAAGTTAGGTAGAAGGAATGTATTTCCTCCATGTGTAGAAGAATGAAAGTAGACTCATATCTCACCATATACCACAATCAACTAAAGTCAATTAAAGACTTAAATATAAGACCTGAAACTATAAAACTCCCATAAAAAATACAGGGAAAATGCTTCAGGTTTTAGGACTGGGCAAAAACTTTATGAATAATGCCTCAAAAGCACAGGCAACAAAAGAAAAAATAAACAAATGGGACTATATCAAACTGAAAAGCTTCTGTGCAGCAAAGAGTACAATCAGCAGAGCAAAAAGACAACCTACAGAATGAAAGAAAATATTTACAAACTGCACATCCAACAAGGGATTAATATCTACAATATACAAGGAACTCAAACAACTTAATAATTTTTGAAAATTCAGTTAAAAAATGGGTAAAGGATCTGAAGAGATATTTCTCAAAAGAAGACATAACAAATGGCCAACAGCTATATGAAAAAATGCTCAACATCACTAATCATCACAGAATTGCAAGTCAAAACTACATTGAAATATCATCTCACCCCAGTTAGACTGGCTGTTATCAAAAAAGACATAAAATAGCAAATGCTGGTAAGGATGCAGGATAAGGGGAACCCTTATATTCAGTCTTGGTGGGATTGTATATTAGCATAGCCATTATGGAAAACAGTACAGAAGTTTCTCAAACAACTGCAAGTAGAACAACATACTATCCAGCAATTCCACTATTGGGTATATACCCAAAGGAATGGAAATCATCTTGTGGAAGGGATACTTGTACTTTCATATTTATCGTAACTCTATTCACAACAGCCACAATATGGAACCAACCTAAATGTCCATCAACAGAAAATTGGATAAAGAAAATATGGTACATACACACAATGGAATACTATTCAGCCATAAAATAATATGAAATTCTGCCATTTGCAGCAATGTGGATGAACTTGGAGAAATTTATGTTAAGTGAAATAAGCGAGGCACAAAAGAGAAATTTTGCATATTCTCATTCATAAGTGAAAGCCAAGAGAAGGAGAGAGAGAGAGAAAAGAAAAGAAAGAAAATAATAAGTTGTACTCTGAGAAGAAAAGATCAAAACTGTGGTTACTAGAGGCAGAAAGAGGGGGAAGGGGTGATAGAGGTTGGTTCATTGACACATAACAGCCAGGCAGGAAAAATAAAAGTTCTGTGGCATACAGTTGAGCTAGGTATCTGTAATTAAAACAGTAACTTACTGCATGTAATGAAATCCCTAGAGGACAGAAGAACAATTGTCCTCATCACAAAGAAATGATTAAGTTTTATAATTATTAAATATGCTCATTACCCTTATTTGAACATCATACATTGTATAAATGTATTGACATTCAACTCTGTACCCCACAAGTATGTATAATCAGTATGTTTCAATAAGTAGGTAAAGAAGGAATGTACCTCAACACAATAAAGGCCATATATGACAACCCACAGCTAAAAACTGTTCATACTGAAGGAACAAAAATGGAAGGCTTTTCCTCTAAGATCTGGAAAAAAGCAAGGATGCCCACTTTCCCCACTCTTACTCAACACAGGACAAGAAGTTCTAGCAACACAATAAGGCAAAACAAACAAAGGGCATCTAAATCAGAAAGGAGGAAGTCAGACTATTCCTGTTTGCAGATGACATGATCCTATACATAGAAAACCCTAAAGAGTCCACCAAAAAATTGCTAGAACTAATAATTCAGTATAGTGTCACAATACCAAATCAACACAAATTAATAGCTTTCTTATATACCGATAGTGAAATATCTGAAGATATTTCAGAATATCTTCAAAATAAGTCAAGAAAGTAATCCCATTCATAATAGCTACCAAAAAAATGAAATACCTAGGAATAAACTTAAACAAGGTTGTGAAAGACTTGTACAATGAAAGCTATAAAACTTTGGTGAAAGAAATTGAAGACACGAATAAATGGGAAGATATCCCATGTTCATGGGTTGAAAGAATATCATCAGAATGTCTATAATATTACACAAAGCAATCTACAGATTCATGCAATCTCTGTCAAAATACTGATGACGTTCTTCACATAAATAGAAAAAAATGATCTTAAAATTTGTGTGGAACCACATAGGATCCCATACAGCCAAAGCAATCTTAAATAAAAAACAAAGTTGGAAGCATCACTTTACCTGACTTCAAAATATACTATTAAGCTCTAGTAAACAGAATAACATGGTACTGGCATAAAACATGTTGCCCAATGGAACACAAGACCAAAAATAAACCTGTGCATCTACAGCCAACTGATTTTCAAGAAAGTTGCCCAAAAAATACATTTTTCAGGAAATGGTGCTGGAGAAATTGGATATCCACCTGAAGAAGACTGAAAATGGTCCGGGTCTCTCACCATACACAAAAATAACTCAAAGTGGATCAAAGACCTAAATTTAAGACCTAAAATTATGAAACTACTAGGAGAAAACATTGGGGAAGTGCTACATGAAATAGGAGTCAACAGTGCTTTTTTGAGCAAGACTACAAATGCACAGGAAAGTAAAGCAAAATAGACAAATGGAACTACATCAAACTAAAAAGCTTCTGGGCCGGCCCGGTGGCGCACTGGATAGTGCGCCGCTTGGGAAGCGTGGCAGCGCTCCCGCCCGAGGGTTCGGATCCCACATACAGACCGGCTCCCGCTCACTGGCTGAGCGAGGTGCGGGAGCAACGCCGAGGTTTGCAATCCCGTTGCCGGTCCCTGGTCCGGTACGGGGGCAACACTGAGGGTTGCAATCCGTTGCCGGACACAGAAAAAAAAAAAAAAAAACTAAAAAGCTTCTGCACAGCAAAGGACACTGTCAACAAAGTGATGAGACAACCTACAGAATGGGAGAAAGTGTTTGCAAAGTACACATCAGTCAAGGGACTAGTATCCAGAATATGTAAGGAACCTAAACAGCTCAACAGAGAAAAGAACAACCCAATTAAGAAATGGGCAGAGGACCTGAACAAACATTTCTCAAAAGAAGACATACAGATGGCCAACAGACTCAAGAAAAAATGTTCAACATCACTAATCATAAGAGAAATGGAAATTAAAACCACAGTGAAAAATCATTTCACTCTAGTTAGAATGGCTGTTGTCAAGAAGGCAGAAAATAATAAATGCTGGCAAGGATGTGGAGAAAAGGCAACTCTTCTGCATTGTTGGGGGGAATGTAAATTGGTACAGCCCTTGTGGAAAACAGTATGATTCCTCAGAGAACTAAAAGTAGAGCTATCTTGTGACCCAGCAATCCCACTCCTGGGTGTATACCCAAAGGAAGTGGAATCAATATGTGGAAGAAACACCTGCACTCCCATGTTCATTGCAATACTGTTCACAATAGCCAAGAGATGGGATCCACCTAAATGCCCACCAGTGAATGAATGGACAAAAAAAAACTGTGTTGTATGGAATGGAATACAATTCACCTACTTAAAAAAAATGAAATCCTGTCAAGGATGGAACTGGAGACCATCATATTAAGTGAAGTAAGTCAGGCATAGAAAGACAAGTACTGCATGATCTCATGCTAATGGGAAATCTAAAAAACAAAAAGTGGTCCTAATAGAAGTAGAGAGTAGAATAATGGGAGGGGAAGTAGGGTAGAGAAGGGGAAGTGGTGGTTTAGTGGGTACAAAGCTACAGGGAGACAAGAATAAGTTCTGGCGTTCTAGGCTGACAAGAGCTAATGTTACTATATTGTATATTTTTAAATACCTAGAAAAGAGGATCTTGACTGTAATCAAAAAGAAAAGATAAATGTTCAGAGGACTGATACACGGTCTACCCTAATAGGATCATTGTGCAGTATATGTATGGAAACAACACACTGTAGCCCACAAATATGTACAATTAAATTTTTTTTTAAGTTTATGGGAAAAATAAAAACAATGCAAATCTTTCCTCAGACTTTATGAATACACTTGTTATATACACGTGCGTTTTAACAATATTTGCTTACTTTCAGAAATAATTTTAATGTATTATTTTTTGTTTTGTTAACTACAAATGTTCCCTTTTAGTTTATTTTAAAAAGAGTTAGTTTGACTAGATTATTTGAAACTTTCAGATGATGATGTAATTTCTACAGTCACTTTCTGGATTATTGCTGATTTTGATAAGCCATCTGGGAGAAAACTGCTTTATAATGCATTAAAGCACATGGTGAGTATCTAGATATTCTTACCACAAAAATTTCAGTTTGTTGCAATTTCAAGAAAGCAATGTGAAGAATATGCATTAAATGTTTATTCTGCATGTTAACATTTTAGTTAACTTGATTAGAAGACGGTGCTAAGGAGACTAAGGAAATCAAATTCAGTCTCTGTGTAAAACAGATAACTTTGGCCAGGAAAAGAAAAAACTGTCTTCTGTGAATCATGACCTTTATATCTGATAGCCCTTACAATCAAGTATACACGTCTAATATTGGGTACAAGTAGGCTATTAAAGAAAAGTAAATGACTCTAGAGCTTACCACTACCTCATTGACCCCAAAACTACTTTTTACCAACAACAATAGCTAGTAATAGCAATTTTTGTCACATAAGTAGGCAGCACCTTCTCTCTCTGATTATTTTAAGAAAAACTGAGTAAATTTATCTTACTGAATAATATTTTAATCCTTAATGCAACCTTAGTGTTCTTGTTGTCAGATGATTACAAACCAGTATACTTCAGAAGGACTCCTTCCTCCCTTCCTCTCTTCCGTCCTCCCTTCCTTCTCTTTCTCTCTTTGTCATTTTGCTCACTGACATTTATGTATTTATTCAAAAGTATTCTTTTTGTAAACTTCTGTATTCTTAAGGGAATATATGTCTGTCCAGATTTTTAAAAAACTAAGAAACATAAAATATTTTATGAAATTGTTTTTATATTATTTAAGTGTAAATTCATTGCTGTGTAATAAATTGCCCCATAACTTAATGGCTTAAAACAATGAACATTTATTTCTTACCAGTTTTGTGGGTTCAGGAATTTAGGAGCAACTTAGCTGAGTGGTCTGGTGTGGGGTCTCTCATAGGATGCAGTCAAGACTTGAGCTATGGTTACAGTTATCTGAAGGCTTGACTGAAGCTGGAGGATGAGCTGCTAATATGGCTCACTTACCTGACCATTAACAGGAGGCCTCAGTTTTTCACTGGCTGTTAGCAGAATGCTTCATTCCATTGTCCTCTTTCTTGTGTTGCTTAAGTGTGCTCACATCGTGGCAGCCAGCTTTCTCCAGAATGAGTGATAAAGACAGAGCCACAATGTCATTTATGATCTAGCCTCAAAAATCATATGGTAGGGCCGGCCCGGTGGTGCACTGGATAGTGCGCCGCTTGGGAAGCGTGGCGGCGCTCCCACCCGAGGGTTCGGATCCCACATACAGTCCGGTTCCCGCTCACTGGCTGAGTGAGGCGCGGGAGCAACGCCGAGGGTTGCAATCCCGTTGCCGGTCCCCGGTTCGGTACGGGGGCAACACTGAGGGTTGCGATCCGTTGCCGGACATGGAAAAGGACAAAAAAGACAAAAAAAAAAAAAAAAAAATCATATGGTATATCTCCTGTTTATTACACAGATCTATTCATTATGAGAAGAGAACATGAATACCAGGAAGTGGGAATTATTGGGGCCATCTTGGAGGCTGGCTAACAAATTAAGAATAAATAATACATTTTAAATTAATCATTATAACATCTGCTAGAAGAATTTTCTTATATTCGAACACTTTGGAATGCATTTGGTCTTTTCTAAGTAGCCTACAAACCAGCAAATTTCAAAAAAGATTGTTTGGGATCTGTGGAGCAACAGTCATCTTGTTGGGAGAAATTAGCTTGTGCCTGCTTTTTCTTCTCAAGAAGTTCTGGGAGCAGTTCTCTGAGAGACCCATAAACTGTCTTTCCCCAGTAGTTATGATGTATATAGCAGATGACTTTCCCTGGATTTAGTTTGTTGCTTCTTCTATAACTTTCAGAATGCTGTCTTAATAGTTTATTTCTTATAAGATGGATGGTTATTTCATTATCCCAAAGCTTTTCAAAATCCACATACCTTCACAATCATTAAAAACACATTATTATTAGACTTAGAGTTTAATTCTATTAATGATTACATATATATATCAATTATATCGAGGTCAAAACAAATAGTATCTTTTGACTCGTCCAAGGAAATTGACAAATCTTTCATTCTTCTCTCCTCTCCTAGTTTGCTTCCTCCTGTCTTTGCACATTTAAGCAGATGTCAGTAGTTGTAAGAAACTTTACAGCAATTGTAAGGAATATTTTAGCATTTTGAATATATCATCCCATTTCCTTCTAGCTTCCACTGTTTCTGATACGAAGTCAGTTAACGTTATTGGGGTTCCCTGGTATATGATGAGTTGTTTCTCTTACTCTTCAGGATTTTCTGTTTATCTTTTTTTTTTTTTTTGTCTTTTTGTTTATCTTTGACTTTTAACATTTTCACTGTGATGTGTTTGGCTGTAGATATCTTTACATTTATCCTTCTTGGAGTTCATTGAGCTTCTTGGATATGTAAATTATGTTATTCATCAACTTTGGGAAGTTTTCAGCCATTATTTCTTTAAATATTTTTTCTGTTCCTTTTCTTCTCTCCAGTATCTTCTATTATGCATATGTTGTTATGCTTAATATTAATAAATGTGGTGTCTCACATTTCTCTAAGGACCTGTTCATTTTTCTTCATTCTTTTTATGTTCTCTTCTTCAGACTGTATAATCTCTATTGATTTACCTTCAGGTTCACTCATTCTTCTGCCATCTCACATCTACTGCTGAGTCCCTCTAGTGAATTTTTCACTGTAGTTGTACTTTTGAAATCTAGAATTTTCTTTTTTTTAGTAATTGCTGCCTCTTTACTATTGTTACCTATATGATGAATCATTATTATTATAATACATCCCTTTTATTCTTTAAACATGGTTTCCTTTAGTTCTTTGAACTATGATATATCTGTTAAATCCAACATCTAAGACTGTTAATGCCTGCTTTATTTGCCCTTTGTATGACAGCCTCTCATGCCCGCTTCTAATACTTCTAATGCCTGCTTTTTTTCCCCTTCATATGAATCACACTTTCCTGTTCCTTTGCATGTCACAATTTTTATTGAAAACCAGACATTTTAGATAATACACTGTAGGACATTTGGATACTGATAACCCTCCATCCCCAGGGCTGGTTATTTGTTTGTTTGTTTGATTGGTTGTTTGTTTAATTCTGTAAAGTCTAATTCTCTATCAGTCTGTGTCTCTGATGTTTCTGCTCAGGTTTTTTTTGTTTTGTTTTCTTGTTTTTATGTTGGCTCCCTAGAGGAACTGCCTGTGAGTCAACAAAAGCCACTTATTGGCCAAGGTTGTGCCTCAATTTCCATAGCCTGTTAAATTTTTATCCTTTAACGTTGGGGTGTGTGTCTCAGAGACTTTCAAAGTTCAGGGGTTTTATGATTTTGCCCTACATTCACCCATGGAATAGTATTTTGGAATTTTCTTTTTTAATCACTCCTAAGAAAGTTCAGCCTTTGACACATGTATACAATCTTCCAGATATCCTAGAAAGAGTTTAATTTTTAGTTTTAAGCCTGACTTTTTAGGAGTTGCCCCAGAGTCAGAGTAGCTTTTTGTTCAGCAGCGTTTATTCAGAGGTTCTGCCTAAGTCCATTAAGCCACTAAGGATTCTGCCCTTTGCTAATGGATCTACATGTGGCTTAGGGAATACTTTCATATCTGTCCCATGCCCCATTCTAATTGCTCCCCAGTGGGACCAGTGTAGCATATGCACTTAGTTTTCCAGAACTTCAGGGATGGGTATGATCACAAGTCAGCTCTTCTTGGCTATTTCTTTCTCTAATTTTCTGTTAAACTTCTGGCTACTCTGCCATTTCACTTCCTACTAGTATAATGGGGCTACCAGCCCTTAATTGCTTTCCAGTAAGGTCTCCATTATTTTGACACAATGCTGTTACATATGAACTTCTGTACACTCTATTCAAACTAGTCATTCTTCTCAGGCCGAGCTGCAGAACTCTTTTTTTATAGCCTTCCTCTCTCCTTAGGTATAACATCTGTGCTACTGCATTGGAACTGGGGCAGGAACAGTGGCCCATTTCTCCCAGAATGATATACTCATGCTATGTATGATCAGTGGGTAGTGGATGGTAGTCCATGGTCTTCTTCATTTGCCTGTCTTGGTGTGGAACCTCTGTCTTATAGGCAAGCTTGGGCTGAGGCAATTGAGTATTCTCAGCTTGCCATGCCTGATGGAGAACTTCTGCGCTACAAGTGGGAGCTGGGCGGGGGAAGGGAGCTCTAGTTCACTTGGTCTTGACTGTCTCAAGTGAAGTTTCTGCCACATGAAGCTGGGGGCATGAGAGATATCAGCAGCCTGTCCTGCATGGGGTGAAACATAGCTCTCGACTGGGAGCTGAAAAGAATGGGAGCCCATCTTCTTGGCCACACCCACCTGAAGTAGAGCCTTCATAACTTGGAACTAGGAGGTGGGGAGGATAGGAGCAGCTTGTGGCCCAAAGGACACAGGCTCTTACTTTCTTAGCGAGATTTAGTGTATTTTCCTCAAAAAGTTTTTCTCTATATGCCAAATGCCCTTAGAACAATTTCCAGAGACTTGTAATTTTTACTAGTTAAATGGTTGATTTACTGGGGGAGAGTGTCCACCAAGGTTTTCCCATAGCCATTCCAGAAGTAATGCCTCATTTGTAAGAAAATTTACAAATTTAACTCTTAATTGATTTTACTCTTCTTATCCTTTCATACTGTAACTTTATTGCTATGAAAGCTATCATTTTGTACTAGCCATTGGTTAGCTGATACACATTTTGAAGTAGTTTTTTGAGATAGGGTGTATTTTCTAGCTGTTTAAATCTGAGTATGTTTATCGTTTCTACTTTCTCATTCTTGAGTCAGAGTTTATTTTTTCTCAAAACCAAGTAGAAATTGCCTTACTGATTTTTTTTTTAATTGCAGAGGAGAAATCTGCTTTTAGGCTCCTTCCTCTTAAAACTAAAAACAAAGACTGTTTCTAGGTATTGATAGTTTTTATTAATTTTTTAAAAATACACATCCTTTCTCATTTGCAGTATTTTCTCTAATTTTATTTAATTACTTTTTCAAAACTTATTTATTCTAGTTTTTTATGTTGTATCTTCCCTTTCTGTCATTCATGTCTATTTTTTTTCCTCTTCTTTTCTTCTCCCCCCCCCCCCCCCCCCCCCCCCCCCCCCCCCCCCCCCCCCCCCCCCCCCCCCCCCCCCCCCCCCCCCCCCCCCCCCCCCCCCCCCCCCTTTTTTTTTTTTTTTTTTTTTCCCTTTCTGTCTTTTTGTCTTTTTTTTTTTCCCTTTTTTTTCTCCCCCCCCCCCCCCCCACATCTTTTTGTCAGTTTCTCAGTACTCTGGAATGGAGACTCTTATTTGACATCTTGATCAGGGGTCAACAGACTCTTTCTGTGAAGGGCCAAGTAATAAATGTTTTATGTTTTGCATGCCTCATTTACTCTGTCACATATTGTTCTTTATTTTTTGTAATCCATTAAAAATATAAAATAACATTTTTAGAGTGGAGGACCATGTGAATGTAGACCTCAGATGGGATTTGGCATATGGGCTGTAATAGTTGACTACTACTCCTGAACTAGTTCATTAACTGAATTATCTATGGTATCAATCTTATTTTTCTCTTTGCATTATTATATTTTGATTCTCTTTTTATTTTAGCCGGCTTATTTTTAATTTCTGCTTTGTCTCATTTCAACCTTTCCTTATAGCATCCTGGATCTGTTTTTTGGAGGCCATGTCTTCTTTACATTGGTACACAAAATTCAAAAGACTAATATAATAAGCACTTACATACCTACCACTTAGATTTAACAATTGTTAACATCTTGCCTTACTGGTTTTACCTAACTCTCTGTCTAGGGTGGAAGGAAGACAAAAATGGTCTAGATCATTTTAAAGTAAGTTATAGAAACCAGCATATATCATCCCTTACTACTTAAACATGCATTTACTAAGAATAAGGATTTTCTTCTACATAACTACAATATCACTGTCACATTATTAGTACTAAATCTGTATTAAATTTTTCCCAGTAGTTCACACAAAGTTGTCTCCTTCCAAACCAGGATCCACACAAGTTTCCCACACTGCATTTCATTGTTACATTTTATTATTTTCTTCTATTGTTGATCAGTCTTCCCCACTGACTTTTAAAAAAGACCAAGCTAGTTGTTTTGTAGAAAAATTCAACATTCTGAATTTCGCTGATTGTTTCCTTATAGTATTTTTAACTCGTTCTTGTATCCATTATATTTCTCTACACTGGGATTTATGTCTAAAACTTAATTAGATTTTTTTTTTTCCTTTTTTTGTCTTTTTTCGTGTCCGGCAACGGATCGCAACCCTCAGTGTTGCGCCCGTACCGTACCGGCAACGGGATCGCAACCCTCGGTGCTGCGCCCGCACCTCGCTCAGCCAGTGAGCGGGAACCGGTCGGCATGTGGGATCCGAACCCTCAGCGGGAGCGCCGCCGCGCTCCCAAGCGGCGCACTGTAGCAGTGCGCCACTGGGCCGGCCCACTTAATTAGATTTAGCTTAACCAGTTTTGGGCAAGAAAATACCATGGGTAATGCTGTATTTCTCACATAGCATCACATCAAGTAGTATGTGAATGTCAGCTTATCTCTCTATACATTTGAAGTGTTAAGTGGTGATAGCCAAATCCCTACCTTGTAAATGAGCTTTTTCCTTGTTCAAATAGGGATTAATCTATGAAATAATATTTTGACACTGTGATAATCTCCTATTGCCCATGACCTTTCATGTAATGCTTTTAGGATCTACTGATGATGCTTACCTGAATCAGTTGTTTTATTTTTGGATGCGAAAGAGATATTATTCTACATTTATTAGCTGGTATTTTTCTGAATAAGAGATTTTTTTTCCTTTACTAACCAAGGATGACCTGAAATTCTTCCTAAAAATCCAAAGGAAATTCTTTATTCTTTACATTTAGTTACCAGTTATGAGAGAAAGGAGATGGTATAGTAGTCATTACTGCATTACAACAGAATCTTTATGCAAAGAGGCAAAGCACTTAGAGTTACTAATGATTATTTTTTAGGCTATTTCAGTGGTATACTACATTTAGTACAGTAAACAGGAAGACTTTGACAGTGAAAGATGGTGTAAGGTAACATGAACAAACTTGATGGGAAAGAAAATATGTTGAACTGTCAAAAAAAAGTAAATGATATTGGTCTTTTTAACCTATAAATGTGTTTTTCAGGAAACAAATGATTATAGTCGTTGGGGGATTATTTATAATCCTTCATCAAAAATAAATGAAGAGAACACAGCCATTTCTAGAGGAATTCTGGCAGCTTTTCTTACACAGAAAAACAGCTTTTTGAGAAGCTTTCTCAGGAAACTGGCAAAGGAAAACACTGCTACAGCTGTTTACTCTGGAGACAAAATTAAAACATTTCTTACTAAGGTCAGTAGCTATTTGTTTGAAATAAATATGTGTTGCATATTTGAAAAATATGTCAGAGTACTTAGAAATATGTTACTGAGAGCATCAATAAATAAGTATAATCAGTTGAGGATAATAAATAAGCAATTTTTTTACAGTGGAAAAAGATAAACATTAAATGATATGACTTTTTTTTTTTTGTGACTGGCAACGGATCGCAACCCTCAGTGTCGCGCCCGTACTGGACCGGGACCGGCAACGGGATCGCAACCCTCGGTGTTGTACCCGCCCCTCGCTCAGCCAGTGAGCGGGAACCGGTCTGTATGTGGGATCCGAACCCTTGGCGGGAGCGCCGCCACACTCCCAAGAGGCGCACTGTAGCAGTGCGCCACCGGGCCGGCCCAAATGATATGACTTTTTATAGAGGCATTTAATGAATCAAATTTCGTATATTTTGTTAACTACTTCATGATCCTTAAAGTTGATGGCATTCTAGTAAGGATATTTATTTAAAGTGAAGAATTGGGGATTAAAGCATTGTGTAAATAATCCTCAGGTATTTCACTGAGAGTGCAGTTGGGGGGAATTTTAAAGATAGAAGATGATCTTCTGAAAGAATGATTTATTAATTCATTCAGAAATTATTGATCATCTACAATTGAGATATACTTGTGAACAAAGCAGGTAGAAACCATGCTCTTTGTGGAGCTTACATTACAGTGAGAAGGAAAGATAAAATAAGTGATATTGGAGAAATATAAAGACACATAAGAGGATATGCGTTTGATGCTATTTTAGATGGAATAGTCAGGGAAGGCTCTCAAAAGAGCTTACATTTGAGCAGAGCTCTGAATGAAAGGAGACATCAAGCCATGGGAAAATCTGAGGGGAGTGTACTAAGTTCAGGAACACAGCAGGTCAAATGGCCTGACACAGAAGACAGTCTTGCCAGGTCTGAGGTGTAGACAGAAGATCATTATGACCTGAATAGAGTGAGTGATGTGGAGAGTACTAGATGAGGTGAGAGGAATAATCCCAGATATTTCAAGCACTGGTAAGGAACTGAAGTTTTTTCTAGGTATATTGGGAAGCCGTTCAGGAATCATGAGGTGAATAGTGTTTAAAAAGTTAACACCGGATGTCAGTGAAGATTTGATAGTAGGTAGACAAGAGTAGAAACAGGATGAATAGTCAGAATGCTAATGCAATAATCTATGCAAGAAAAATATGGTATCTTGGAATAGATAGTAGTGGTAGAAGTGGTGAGATGATTGACAAAAGTATTTGTTCTGTCTTTTGCTTTTTTAAATTCAAAATATTTTAACATGAACTTGTACATATTTGTAGAGTACAGAGTATTGTTTCAATGCATATGTATACTGCACAATGATTCACTTAGAGTAGATGACATAACTTTGTACCCATTAGTCTACCACTTCTCCTCCTCCCCCTTCCTCCTATAACTCACTCCCCACCCCAGCCTCTGGTAACCATTATTCTACTCTCTGCAAATTATAGAATATTTTTTTTTATATCTGAGTAGTATTCCATTGTGTATATATACCACAGTTTTTTATCCATTCATCTGTTGATGGACATCTAGGTTGATTCCATCTCTTGGCTATTGATTTCATTTCCTTTGGGTATATACCCAGTAGTAGGATACCTGGATCATAAAGTGGATCAATTTTTTGTTCTCTGAGGAACCTCCATATTGTATTCCACAAGGGCTGTACCAATTTACATCCCTGTCAACAAAGTAGGAGAGTTGCTTTTTGAGAGTTTTTTTCTGAATCCTTTCCAGTATTTATTTTTTGTCTTGTTGATAATAGCCATTCTAGCTGGAGTGAGGTGATATCTCACTGTGATTTTAATTTCCATTTCCCTGATGATTAGTGATGTTGAACATTTTTTCATGTGCCTGTTGACCATTTGTATGTTTTCTTTTGAGAAATGTCTGTTCAGGTCCTTTGCCAGTGTTTTCTTCTAATAGTTTCATAGTTTCAGGTCTTAAATTTGGGTCTTTAATCCATTTTGAGTTGATTTTTGTGTATGGTGAGAGGGGTCTAGTTTCAGTCTTCTGAGTGTGGATATGCAGTTTTCTTAGCACCATTTTTTGAAGAGGCTGTCCTTTCTCCATTGGATATTTTTGGCACCTTTGTAGAAAATCAGCCAACTGTAAATGGGTGGTTTATTTCAGGAGTCCCTATTCTATTCTGTTGGTCAGTCTGTCTATTTTATGCCAGTACTATGCTGTTTTGGTTACTATGGCTTTATAGCATATTTTGAAGTCAGGAAGTATGATGCCTCCAACTTTGTTCTTTTTGTTTGAGATTGCTTTAACTATATGGGCTCTTTTGTGGTTCCTTACAATTTTTTAAAATTTTAATTTATCAGTGTACAATGTAGTTGATTTTGTGTCCCTTTACCAATTCCTCCTTTTCCCCCTTCTCTCTCCCCCCACTCCAGGTTCCTTACAAACTTTAAGATCATTTTTTCTATTTCTGTGAAGATTGTCGCTGGTATTTTGAAAGGGATTGTGTTGAATGCATAGAGTGCTCTGGATAATATAGACATTTTGATGATGTTAATTCTTCTGACCCATGAACATGGGATATCTTTCCATTTATTTGTGTCCTCTTCACCTTTTTTCACCAGAATTTCATAGTTTTCATTGTAGAGGTCTTTTACCGCCTTGGTTAAATTTATTCCTAGATATTTCATTTTCTTGGTAGCTATTGTGGTTGGGATTAGTTTTTAGTTTTTTCTTCAGCTATTTTATTATTGGCATATAGGAAGGCTGTTGATTTTTGTGTGTTAATTTTGTATTCTGCCACTATATTGAATTCATTTATTAGTTCTAGTAATTTTTTGGTGGAGTCTATATTTTTTTCTTTGTATAAGACCATGTCATCTGCAGATAGGGATAGTTTGACTTCCTCCTTTCTGATTTGAATGCCCTATTTTCTCTTTCCTTATTGCGTGAGCTAGAACTTCTAGCAACTGTGCTAGGTAGGAGTGGGGAAAGTGGGTATCCTTGTCTTGTTCTAGATCTTAGAGGAAAAGCCTCCAATTTTTGTCCATTCAGTCTGATATTAGACGTGTGTTTGTTGTATATAGCCTTTATTGTATTGAAGTACATTCCTTCCATACCTAATTTGCTGAGTGTTTTTATCATGAATTTTATCATGGATTTTATCAAATGCTTTTTCTAAGTCTATTGAAATGATCACTTATAAATTGGCATATGTCGAACCATCCTTGCATCCCTTGGATGAAACCCGCTTGATGATGGTGTATCTTTTTAATGTGTTGTTGCATTCGGTTTGCTAGTGTTTTGTTGAGGATTTTCATATGTTCATTACAGATATTTCTTTTTTGTGTGTGTCTTTTTCCAGTTTGGGCAGGACAGTAATGCTGGTCTCATATTATTCCATTCTCTTACATTTTTTGGAAGAATTTGAGAAGAATTGGTATTAGTTCTTTAAATGTTTGGTAGAATTTGACAATGGAGCCATCTGGTCCTGGGGTTTTCTTTGTTGTGAAACTTTTTATTATTGCTACAAGCTCATTAGTCATTATTGGTCTGTTTAGATTTTCTAGTTCTTCATGATTTATCCTTCTTAAGTTGTATGTGTCCAGGAATTTATCCATTTTTTCCAGGTTTTCCAGTTTATTTGCATATAGTTGTTCCTAATAGTCTTTTATGACCATTTAATTTCTGTGGTATCAGTTGTAATGTCTCCCTTTTCATTTCTAATTTTCTTTTTCTTTTTTTCTTTGTTAGTCTAGCTAAAAGTTTATTGATTTTGTTTACCTTTTTGAAAAAACAGCTCTTTATTTTATTTATCTTTTGTATTTTTTAAAATCTCTAATTCATTTATTTCCACACTGATCTTTGTTATTTCTCCTCATCTACCAATTTGGGGTTTGGTTTTTTCTTGTTTTTCAGGTTCCTTGAGATGTAGCATTAGGTTATTTGGAGTCTTCTTTTTCGATATAGGCATTTATTGCTATAAACTTCTCTCTTAGAACTGCTTTTGCTGTATCCTGTAGGTTCTCGTATATTATGTTTTCATTTTCATTTGCCTCCAGGAATTTTTTAATTTCCTTTTTGATTTCTTCTTTGACTCCCTTGTTTAGAAGCATGTTATTTAATTACCATGTATTTTTACAATGTCTAGTGTCCCTTTTGTTGTTGATTTCTATTTTTATTCCATTGTAGTTGGACAAGGTAGTTGATATGATTCCAGTTTGTATAAATCTGTTGAGGCTTGTTTTGTGTCCTAACACAAGGTCTATTCTAGAGAATGTTCCATGTGCCACTGAGAAGAATGTGTATTGTGAAGCTGTTGGGTGAAATGTTCTATAAATGTTCATTAGTTCCAGTCAGTATAATAGAGATTAATTCTGCTGTCTCCTGGTTTTCTGTCTGGATGAGCTATCCTTTGCTGAAAATGGGATATTAGAACCCCCAACTTTTTCTTTTCTTTTTTCTTTGACAGCTGGCTGGTAAAGGTAAAGTCCCTGACTATTACTGTGTTGAATTTTCTCTCTCCCATTAGGTCCAGAAGTAATTGCTTTATAGAGTTTATATAACTGAGTGCTCCAGAGCTGGGTGCATATATGTTTAGAATTGTTATACCCTCTTGTTGAATTGATCCCATTATCATTATATAATGACCTTCCTTATCTTTTTTTACTTTCATTGGCTCGAAGTCTATTTTATCTGATATAGGTAGAGTTACTCCTGCTCTTTGTGGTTTCTATTTGCATGAAATAACTTTTTGTATCCCTTCACTTTCATCCAGTGTTCTTTTCTGGAAGAGAGCTGAGAGCTGCACTGGGGCTCTGTTGAATGTTAGGTGTTCCTTTTCTCTTGCTGCTTTTAGTATTCTCTTCGACTTTGGTTTTTTAATAATTTGATTATGATATGTCTTGTGGTGTGCCTCTTTGGATTGAATTTGATTGGTGACCTTTGAGCTTCCTATATCTGGATGCTGTCATCTTTCTCCATACTT